GTATATTGAGTCATTACTTAAATACAAATAGTATGCTTAATGTAGACTGGATAATTTAACGTTTCCCCCAGAATCTGAGGTTTGTGGAAAACACCGACGGCTATAACGGATTTCGCAGAACACAACAAGATAGATCTACACATAGTATTAATATATACGTCTTCAGTTGGAGATATGAACATTCCTTTAAAATCATCCCCCCTCCAAACCCATATTTGTACGGTATTTTACTGTGCTCGAAATAGTTAAGGTCATCCATATGTGTATGACCCTAGTTGTTGTGAAGACGTTTAACCCCATACAAACTATCTTGCAGGTCCCCACCTGATGATGTGTTGACCAATATATATATAAATTATTATAATTGACTATTGATTATAATTCAAATGCAGCATAAAATGTATGTTGCTTTTTTATCTACTATACTATTTAAAAGACAAGACTGACCACTTTGATGAAAAGGATGTTTTATTGGATCATGTCTTTGTTTATTGCAGTCGACCGCATATGACGGGGAAAGAAGGACTTTGAAGAATATCTACAACAGGAACTCTCGCCAAAGGCACCTTACCTTGTGTGATTTTACACCAATGCTATTGAAAGTTTCTAATCTTTCACCACGAGAAATGATTCCGAAATTATTCAATATTTAATATTTATTCAGAGTTCATATAATTTATTTACCGTAAATTCCGTGCAGTGCTTTCCATAACAATCAGAATACACAAAAATGAGTAATTAACAGTAACGACAGGACGTGACTGAATTCAAACTAATGAAAACTACCTTGATGAAAAACTAGAATGAAAGACTGAAATGAAAATATATGAATCTCAACACAGAAACATTGATACTAAATGTAATTTCGATACGAGTAACCGTTGATTTTTTTATTATCATGCTTTTTTTTCTTTTCTTCAAACTAAAAAAAATCATAATGAGGCCATGTGGTTTCTTTATGTGCTATATAACGGGTTCACTTGAAATGAAGGATTGCCTGTCTTTACTTGCCTCCAAATGTATATAAAATACACAGATTTATTCTCCTGCAGCGGCGGAGGAGGAGGAGGAGCAGCAACAGTCAAGTACCTCATACTGGCGGCGGCGGTGGTGGTTGTGTTGATAAATAACCATGTATACCCATCAATCTGTCATGTGTATCCGCCGCCGCCGCAGGGGCTACAGCCACCGCCACCGCCAGAATGACCTTCTTGATTGCTGTATCCTCCGCCACCGCAGGAGAATAATCCTGTATACCCACTATTCAGTAGTCCGCCGCCGCCGCAGGAGAATAATCCTGTATACCCACTATTCATATGGTATAGTGCAACTGCTGCTGCTGGTATTTCTGCTGGAGGTGCTGCTGCTGCTTGATATTATTTTGTCCATTGAAGGGCTGTTTCTCTTTCATATAGCGTTGACACAAAAGCATCATTAGTCAATGAATTATTATCAGTAGAGATTGTCACCTCCTGCTCCTCGTCCTTCCTCGNGTGTATCCGCCGCCGCCGCAGGGGCTACAGCCACCGCCACCGCCACCGCCAGAATGACCTTCTTGACTGCTGAATCTGCTGCTGCTCCTCCGCCACCGCAGGATGGATAATAGTCCTGTATACCAACTATTCAGTAGCCTGCCGCCGCAGGAGAATAATCCTGTATACCCACTATTCATATAGTATAGTGCAACTGCTGCTGCTGGTATTTCTGCTGGAGGTGCTGCTGCTGCTTGATATTATTTTGTCCATTGAAGGGCTGTTTCTCTTTCATATAGCGTTGACACAAAAGCATCATTAGTCAATGAATTATTATCAGTAGAGATTGTCACCTGTTAATGTTTCCAATCTGGAAAACTGGAGATCTTATTACCAGAATGTGTTGGAGGGAGAGAACCCTAGTTCTCGGATGGAGGTACATACTGACATGGGTGACGACAATTCCGCTCGGGATAATGAAGTTATTCAAATTACACCGGTGGCTGCTTCTTTGGAAAGAACATAATGAGAATGGAAACGTTAAAAGAAAATCTGTGTTCAGATGATACAGACAGGCCTGGTATAATTCAGCCAAGATTAAGAAGAAAGAACAATATAAAGAACGAAACCATGTCTGACATAATCAAAATATGTAAAAGAAAGCCGAATTATTAGATATATAGTAGTAATGAGATGGCTATAGCGCACACATATTATTAGCATAAACAGTTATGAGAGTTACACTTGGTAGTGTGAATCCATGCGCGAGGGGTTTCACCTATTGGAAATTTCCACAGCCTATTCACCTAAATTAACAACGTCGCGGGTGATCAGCAAGAAATGGGTCTGTTCAGCTTGTGAATACGTGTATTAGATGCAACCGATTTGTAGGAGAGTCAACTACTCTAGAAAGGTCTCATTTCAAGACCCCGTTTTGTGGGATAGAGCGTACATCCCGATACCATATCACGGGTGGTAGATGACTCTCGGTAATGTGAAGTAAGGGTGGACACGGGATATGTCTCTGACCCGCGTCCGTTCAATTGACAGAGACAATTAAATACACTTGCATTCAAATCGTCTTGATTTATTTATTCATATATCACAAAACCGTCTTTTCGTTTATATTTTAGCATCTGGGAAGGTTCTAGAATACCGATCCGGTTGAAACCGGCAGAATCTAAGTATAGACCAAACGCGGGAAAAACCGTGACGTCATCATTACGGTACCACCCGGTTAGGGTGGTGCTGCAGGGTGGTGCCTTGATTTCGTCGATCGGTACCCCACCCACCCCTATAGAATGGGGAATTGCCACTAGAGAGTGTATTGGCTGCACTCAATTGGGAACCCTCTGTGACGTCGATCGGTAACACCCTACCAAAGGGTGGTGCCAGGGGGTACTATAGGGACCGCAGAACCAAATGATTTTCCGAAGTTACCGCAAAAGCTGAATTGAAATAGTCTTTGTAAATCTGCCAATTCCATATTCCAAATTTAATATGTTGACATGCGATGGCGATAGATTGGTGTATTTGATTGAATTAAAAATTATGTATAAAGCCTGATATCAGTGTTTCTGGTTTAGCGTGTATTGACCAAATGGCGACATCCTTCCAAAATATATCAAAAATATAAAAACAGGACAGCTACCCACAGTAATGATCAAAATTAATGTAGGCCGCAAGAGGTGATAGTGATATTGAGATACACTATACTAATATATACATTTGCACAGTTTATCTATGAACTCATCGATAAAATACAGATAGCAGTAATTTTCCAACTAATCATGTATATGTGTTTGATTGTTTTAGATTTTACGTCATCGTTACAGTTAAGGTCATGTGCACGTGGTGACGGTATCTACGGATGATGGGGTCACTTTCAATAAGCATGATACTTGACCAGGTCATATTTTACAGGAACCGGCCAATCATACTTCACAAAACAAGAAAGGGGAAAAAAACCACTTTTAAGCTTAAATACGTAAATGAGTCCCATTAAATAACATGTTTCCGTAAATATCGTAACGAGGTCCCATTTTGAGGCTAATTAACATCAAATGTTAGGCTGTTGAAATCGCACTTGTCCGTGGTCCGTCCTGAAACAATCCTTGTGTTATTTCTCAAGAAATGTTTGACTAATATTTCTCAAAATAATCTTTGATGTTTCCCTTAGTTCCTTATCGGTGAATGTTTCATTTTGAGATAAGCAAGTCAAAATGGCAACTACTCCGCCATCTTTGATTTTGACAGTTTAAGTTAGTTTACGCAATTTCTAAAGAGGTGCGCGACAGATTATTCCCAAATTTCATATGAAGTTTCCAGTTTCCCCTTTGGTCGTATCTTATTGTGCATGTTTTAATTTGAAACAGATCGGAAAACTTTACAGATCATTCTCAAACTTTATCACAATGTAGACTTATCCTCGCATTAGTTATGCATACTAAGGTTTGAGCTTCAAGTTGCTTGAATGGAAGGAAAACATGGTTGCTAGAAAACATTATTCTCTCATGTGCTACATATATATATAACACGATACTATTTTAGGTCAAACAATAACCTAACTTTGAAAGAATGCTGGAAAACCCATCTGTAAGGAGTTTTAATAAAAAGTGACCCCAAATCAAAGCGGGACACACAAACATTACTCATGCACACTTACTCAAGGGTGACGCCCAGCCTTATTGTTTAGCTTGTGATACCCAATTCATTATTTGGATATTTATCTTCACGTGTAGTTATATGAAACATGTTTGTGATATTTTTTATTGTTGACAAGATTATAAATCAATAGCAGAAGAGAAAAGAGGAGAAAGTATCTATAATATGTAAATGTAACGATAGAAGACGCTAAGATCGCTAGCACTCTTGTAACGCTTTCCATTCTTTTCCTATAGGGACATTCACCTTTCTATTAAATCTTCTGCCCAAAGGGAAAAACCCACAATCTATTTTTGATTTGGTTCCGTGGTCCCTTTAGGTGGTGTCTCCCTAACTCCCACACCTCCATATGTCTGAAGTTGTTGCGAGGACGTTAAACCACACACAGACAAACAGACCTGTTTCATTGTGTTAAACGAATTTGCTGTTGCACGTGTCATCTGAAGAAAGTTGCCTTGGGAGACATCGCCTAAATTAAAGAGTATAAAGTTAAAAATCGTTAATGTCTTCTGCTTAGGAATCATTGAAGAGAATGTAGGTCTATAGTCTATACCTTAATAATTATATGTAATTAAACATTATCACATTCACTGTTATTGTTACCCACAATGAATATTGTTTCAATAGCTAGTTGGATAATAAGTTTCTGATTTTTTAAGGGGACACATGACATTAATATTTTAATGCAACGCAAACTATCCTCCGATGCATCACGTCAAAACTACTGTTGATAACAAAGGTGATAGTAAGCATTTATTCAGTCATTTTTAGAACAGGGTGCATGTGATAACATATTCAATTGTTGGGGACACATTACATCAGCTATATAAATGTATATTCTCAGTATTAGGAACATAGTTGGAAACGTGATATAAATACAACGACACTAGTTGACTAAATCAGACCGGGCAATACGACTCACGAGGTACGATTGTTTGTACCACTTCATATTTTCCCTTAACTGCTTCAAGTAACAGTATGGAAAAACCTACATATTTCTACCACGCGACCTCACCAGACAATGAACGTTTGATAAAAGAGAGTGATCGCCTGAAACCACAAAAACATCAACACTCAAAATGGAAATGTTTGGTAAAAAACTGCCCTGAATATGCATCGGTACCAGACGGGGTGTGGTTATCTGCCACACTGGAACACGGGGCTCTGCCATTCTTTTCTCCTTATGGCGCTAGACGGGTGAAGATTCCTATCAAAAGCGTGATACAACAGCTTGGAGGAAAGGTTAAGTTATATGAAGGCGTTACTGTTCGATCAAATCGAGATGAAACATACGTCAGGTTGATGCTTGTGAGGGAAGACGCAACGTTTGAAGTATTGCAGCACATGAAAGAACTGGATGTCGCCGACAATCCGTGCTTAAAGCTGACAGGGGAATACAGAGTTGCGCGTCCACCAACCTTGATAGATGTATATGTGCCGTACCCAATCGATATCAGTAACTGGGATAATGGTATGTATATTCTACTTAAGTAAAAAACATTTAAGTTGAATTATTTCAATAGCTCTCCGCAGAATCAGCGTCGATTTTTTATTGTCTTCACTCTATGACACATTGAAAAAACGGAGAATAGACCTGCTGTATGCCACTGCCCGTGTATCGTAAAGGCGACCAATGTGGAACCCCCTAAATTATCTGGATTTTCTTCCAATCCTTCTAAGGATGGGAACTTTTGTTTCCCGATTCTTTCTCTTCTATTTACCTTGTGTTTCAGGCGGTGTGTCCCAGGACACCCATCCTCATGACCCTAGCTGTTGCAAGGTGTGGTTTGGTTTTATATTGTTTAGCGTCTTATTAACTGCTAAGGTAATTTAAGGACGTGCCTTATGTGTGTTGATCGCGCGGATCTGGTGCCGACTTTGTAGTGCTTTCTCACTGAAAAATCATGCCGAAGGCATCCAGCACAGCATTTCGACCGGTCACATTTTACTTACAACGGGTGAACCAAATCGTGTTATTAACAAAAATGCCAAATGTGAGGTGTTGCCAAGCAAGGCGCTATGAAATAACAGGTAGTTAGAATGAGAGAGGAATATAAAGATCCCAAATATTTCAATGGGTGCAGCAGATTTATTTTGTGTCCCAAATTCTGCAGGGGGTAGGGGAGTAGGGGATTCCCACATTTGTCTCCTCTTACGATACAAACATTGGGTAACAGCAGGTATATTCTTTTCTCGATCCTCTATCTGAAGGGGTGGGCTGTTGCGTGGACGTTTAATCCCAAGCAAATAAACAATACACCCCTTGACACCATGACGAAGGCACCCAGCAAAGTATTGTACCCGGTCACTTTATACTGGCAATGGGTTAACTATTTGTTGCGATAACCATACATGCTGACCATTTATAAGTTATATTTTTAGACCTTTTAGACTTTTGCAAAAATGTTAAACCCCATTCAAACAAAATCTGGTCGTCATATTTATTGACAAATATGTAAATCATACTTTTTTCCTTTTGCCCCTGTGAGGGAGGCTTTGGGTTCAGTCCCCTGGCCGAGACATACCAAAGTCTTTAACAAAAATGGTAGTTTCTACTTCTGCTTAACGCTCAGCAAATTAGGAGTGGGACGTCTGGTTCGCCCGTTGTCAGTAGAATGTGACCGGGTGGGATGTCCTGCTGGGTGTCTTTGGCAGTATGTTTCAGTGAGGTAGCACTATAAAGTCGGTATCAGTTCCGCGATATCCCAAGTAGACAAACACGAACATATCGCAGCCTCCCAAAAAACACATACGCATACACTACACGCATGCATCTTGCACACAGGGGAAGCCGTCCTTAGCTGTTAATAGATCGTTAAACAAAATAAAACCAAACCAAACCATACTTTTTTATGTTCAAATACAGCATATAATGGTTTAGTTTGCTTAATTATACTTCTTAGAAAAAACCCGCTGATTGTTAGCTATTTTGCAGTTACGATGACGTGTGTTTTTGTCTGTATCGTTAACAATAAGTGTGAACGCTTAAATACAATCGAATTGTTAGCCATTTTGTAGTATAGTTAACGTGTGTCTATGTTTGTATTGTTAACAATAAGTGTTAACGCTTAAAAAATCGAATTGTTCCAAGGTAGGCATCAGGAGTTAATCCACATGATCAACTGAATGAGAAACGGTATTTGTCACGTGGATAATCAGACCATCGTAACTTTCAGATGACAGCTGTAAAGATACACTGTCAGTAGTTTGGCTATGGTCAATTCGGAATATCTTTAATGTTGAAAGAATTATGTAGTTCGTTTACAAATTGTTCCTTCGTCAGTAGTCGAGTTGACACTCTCATATTAGTGTAGGTTGGTGTATTAACTCTTTTACCCCTAGGTAACTTTTGTTAACTCTACCATACATTGATCTGGATGAGTCCATTCTGGTCTACATTGGTGAAAGGGTTAAGTAGCAGTCATATCTACACTGATGTACGAGTAAGAGTAAAAAGTGGTAGCATCATTCCGCATGATATTTTAGTCAGTTTGTTTACGAATCATAGTTATCCGAAGGATAAGTGTCTTTTTTCATGGAATCATGTCTTTGTTTATTGCAGTCAATACCTGGCCGGACTCCGGCACAAGGGAAAACAACAGACTTGAAAGGATATCCGACACCGTTTAGTCTCGTCAAAGACACCTTATTTTGTGTGATTCTTACACCTACTGTACAGGAGCTATTTCATTTGTCGCCAGGAGAAGTGATTTCGAGTTGATTCAATCGTTAACATTTATTCAGAGTTAACAAAGAATACATACTGTCATTATTACTGCCAATATCCTGCAGTACACCATTCAGTGATTTAAAGCAACGAAAGGACGATGATTGAATAACAACAAAAAATAACTGAAAGGAAAATAGACTGTAAAATATCAGCATATGTATTTAATCGCAGTAAAACTAGAGGGAAATTTAATTTAAATATGGTTTCCCGTTATTTTCGGTATTTATTTAAGTGATATCATTACACTTTTATTATTATTTCACATTCAAAATGTTGACAAAAAGCAGCAGACAGTGCGATGTAAAAGGCACTGTCATTGCACTTTGAAAGAATATAAATGTTCATTCCGACTAATATTAATTTATGTAAGGCTATGCAGTTTCTTCATGTGCAATACATGAATGTGTACTTTTAAATGAATTATTTTGATTTAACGTCTTTTGAGTCCATTTTGACAATTTAGGCCGCAGATGACGTTCCTATGTCAAGGAGGCCGTTAAACACTTACAAACGATCTCAGAATTTCATATTTCCTCTAAATATATTTTCAATGCATAATTTCTTTTATTTCAAAATACACTTTGAACTGACATTATTCTTCATCAAATTTAAATTGATTACTCAATACATTAAAAGTAATTACCGACCCGTCTTTTATTGATGTAAGGGTAAACAGTTAATTACTTATGATATTCATATGCTAATAGATATAAGTTTTACGGCATCTTCAATCGCTTTATTACAGCTTGTTGTGATTATATTTCTAGATGTAACTTTATGGTAATTTACCAATCACTAAAACATTGTAGTATTATCAAAATGTGTTAAAAAGAGTTGTGTCTGTGTTTAATTTTGTATCCTTTTTTTGTATCCACATAATAAACTTATGAATATTCATTACACCTTTGATCTGATCCATATCAGATATGATCCGTATCACTTAATTTGTTGTTATTCGATGTAACAGTATCCGGAGTTTAATCTTTTCGTCACGTGAGACGAGATTATACTTGACCTATTTTCGACCGACCTTTATTCGTCGTTGTCGATCGGTAAACAAATCAATAACGTTTTGCAGGGTGGTTTCATAGTCAAAAGCAATTCATTCTTGTGAGTTATTTGGATATCCCCCTGAATGGCGGGGCCAAAAAGGGTCAAATTGGCTACGATTCCAACAATTCTCCTCTTCGGATCCACATATGATGGAATAAATACTCTTCATGGATTGAGACTCAAGGTGCCTTGTCAAAATTGAGCAGTTAACACAAGTTTAAATATGGAAATATCCTGATTGCTTTCTCAGTTCGATTATCACATTGTTTGATTTCGCTGTCTTAATAAGATGTGGTGATTCGAGGAATGATCTTCAGAGGTGAGCCGTCTGTTGACTTGAGGGTTTTTCGACCGTAGTGCAATGATTAACCTAAAAGGAGCAATGACTTTTTTTTACAATTTTAGATCTTTCTCTCTTACTTGTCCAAGAAAAACAGGAATTGACCCGTGAAAAGATAAACTTGCTTTCCTAGGGGGAACGAGAGGACGTGTCTCGATGTGTGTTGTTTAAGGTTCATGTGTGTATGTGTGCAGGAGACAGGGTATGTTGAAGTACTTGCCTCCTTGTGATATCGCGGATATGATGCCGACTTGATAGTGCTACCTCACTAAAACATCATGCCGAAGGCACAAGCACAACATTCCGCCCGGTCACATTATAATGATTACGGAGGAACCATTTGTTGCCATTACCCTAAATGCTGAACTTTAGGAATAACAACTACCATTTTTAAGGACTTTGGTATGTCTCGGCCTGGGGACAGAACCCATTGCCTTCCTCACCTGGGCGAACGCTCAACATTCAAGCCGAAAATGAGGTGTTGCCAAGCAAGGCGCTAGGAAATAAAAGGTAGTTAGAAGTACAAAGAAAGATAAAGATCCCAAATATTGCCGGAAAGATAGAGAAGGGAAATATGAAAAGAAAAGACATAGACATCAAGGGTTGAATTAGGAGCAGCCTATCAATTTTGGTTTCTTAGGTGTCTAATATGTATAAGACACCGAGTACAAGTCCAGATTCTGCAGAGGGCTCTGTATGATACAACAGATCAATCATTTACCGACACATGTAAAGGTTCAAATAATCTGTTCGTGTTTTGTCCATTAAAATATCACAGGTACTATGAGATGACATCAAAAATTAAGAATGACGACATACATTTTTTGACAACAATAAAGTATCTTGTATTCGATTCGTTATCAGTTGGGATGGAATTTATTAAACTTGCTGCTCTTTTTTTGTTGTTGTTCGTTGTAGCATATCAGAACATATAAGTAACATTACATATACAATTGCGTGTCAATAAATACACATCACACTGATAATAAAACTCATTCTCAAACATTTAAACATGTGTGACCAAATTTCGTTGAAATCGCACCATTTTTTAAGGCAGTTATTGCATGGAAACTATAATGACAAACGGACGTGCCCAAATTAATATCCATTGTTTTCGTTAAAAAAGAGGTTGATAAAAAGTGTGAACCTCTTTGATTTCTCTTCCCTCCTACATTCATTTAAGCAGTATTCACGGGAACGACACGCGCCTTTTCAAGAATAATAGAGTTTTTGAAGCCGTCGGACTGCTTTCACTTCACTTCCTATGAAAGTACGTAAATAGGCCTGTTGTACCCACTCTATGCGGTAGGAGGCAACTGACGTCGGCCCCTGTAGTATCTAGGTATAAGAAGTCATATTAGAAGAAGTCATTGAAGAAACGAACATTTATCTGCGGCCCATCGGATCTGTATTTAGTTTTCTCACCTCGCTATTCTCTCTTTCGAAAGTGTCTCCCTAGGGTGCCTCCACATGACCTTAATTGTTTCGAGGACGTGCCACCCAATACAAACAAACACAATTATGGTTTCATACGGAAGTCGAGGTATGATCAGCGGTTTGTTTGTATGTGGTTTAACATTCTCGCAACATCTATGATCTTATGAAGACGAGTGCCTAGGGTGACACTGCCGGAAAGATAGAGTAGGGAAATATGAAAAGAAAAGACATAGACATTAAGGGTTGAATTAGGGGTAGCATATCAATTTTGGTTTCTTAATTGTCCAATATGCGGAATGTGCACCTTCCAGATTTAGTAATAGATACTGGACCAACAGGATTAGAAAAACCTTTTCCTTGGGGTAAAATAATTAATCGAAACCCCCGGGATAGAGTTGATTAAACACTCGTGAAATCTCGGTTTTGGTTTCATTTTTATTTTGTTTAGCGTCTTAACAACTAAGGTCATTTAAGGACGTGCCTCCATGTGTGCTGTGTATGCGTGCTTGCGTTTGTGTGCAGGAGGCAGGGTATGTTGGTGTATTGACAACTCTGCTGACCTTGCTACAATAATATTCCCAGTCAGGACTCGAGCCATACTTCCAGTCAGTCTCTCGATGATCTCTACCAGACTACATAATAGGGCAAATATACAGCCATACACCCCTTGTCTCGATGACGCGCTACCAGAAAATTATCTCGGGCAAGCCGTATGCCCTACGTCTTTGAAAAGTACTGGCCGCTATGGAGGACTTATAGTATACAATTTACATGCTATTTCACTTCGAGTCAGCAGAAGGTTCAGACTGGATTTTGCTAATGTGTTATTTATTAGCGCTAGCTTTAACGTCCTATTATCTCATCGAATGACATGCTCCATCTATGTAATGTATGCGTGCAACCGCGTATGTGAGCTGGAAGCAGGGTTTGTTAATGTTTTTCTTACTTGCGACAGTGCTTCCTCGCCAAAGGCAACAAGCTCAGTATTCCACCCGGTCACATTTCATTGACAATGGGTAAACTACTTGTTGCGATAACGCTAAATGCACAACGTTGACCAAAAAGGAGGCATTGCCAAAGAAGGTGTTAGGGGAGAAAAGATTGATAGGAAGCAGAGAGAAAATATAAAGATCCCAAACGGGTTCCCATCGATATTTTTGTTGTTTTTCTTTGTCCTGTTAGCGGAAGACAAAAAAAATCCCTAACATTTGTAGGGGGANTAGGGCATCTATCTGTTCTGTTCGGCGTTGTCTTCATAGGCACATCTTGTTAGGCTGTTGTCATAATTTGCTTTGATTTTCCAATATTTTGTTTAGAGTTTAAAGTCCTAGCAACAGTAATGGTCAATTATAAAGACGGTTGCATTAGGAGTCAGTTAACAAGAGAAACTTACAAAGAGAGATCCCGAGTTTTTACCAACTTTATTATGTAACAAACGTTCGCCTATTATGATGTTGGTGCACGGATTGTTCGTAATAACATGTGATGAGTAGAAAGCAATGATACATTCTGAATTGGACACAGCCTACCACATTCCGGAATCAGAAATGGAAGCGAGACAACTCGTGTTCGACTATATGAATACGTACCTACTAGAGACTGAACTGATCATGTCGTTTAAGTCGTGTAAATCAAAGTATGTTTCCCTAATGTTACCTTCCTTAATAATTATAAATACCTGATTTTATAGTGAAAAGTTAAATAAATCTATATCATTTGTGAAAACCGAGAGATTACATTGATATTACCATATATTATTTCTTGAAACAACAAAATAATTACCTTGATAGTACCTTACTCAATTCATAAAAATCAATGGAGATCGCATTGGCATTACCTACTTCATAATACTGTTATCATTCTTAAAAATGACACTTTTTATTCCCTGCTTAACCTTCAGCATTTAGCGTAATGGCAGCAACTTCTTTTGTAGATTGTTTTGGGACAAAAGGAGAGGTCAGTTTGTCCCCTACATTATTTTACAGGACTTTCGCATTTGACTGGAATTAGTACTGTGCGAAAGGTTTGTAAACTTCCGTTGTTTTTTATGTCTATTTATTGCGGCGCTGGCCGTAGCCATACAAACAGAGGATATCAGCAAGTCAGACTTCACACATTCATTTTAACATGTTTTATCTTCAAAACATTAAAATACACTTAAGATGTTGTTTTGTTTTGGTTTGTCTAACGTCTTATTAACAGCCATTGTCATTCAAAGACCTGCCTCCATGTGTATTGTGTATGCGAACATGTGTGTATGTGTGTTTGTGTGCCGGAGACAGGGTATGCTGGTGTATTTGCCTCCCTGTGATAGCGTGGATCTGATGCCGACGTTATAGTGCTATCTCACTGAAATATCATGCCGAAGGCGCCCAACACAGCATTCCGCCTGGTCACATTATACTGACAACGGGTTAACCAGTTGTTGTCATTACCATAACTGCTGAACGTTTTGCAGGGAATAATAAATACCATTTTAAAGGAATTGGTATGTCCCGGCCTGGAGACAGAACCCATTGCCTTCCCTCACCTGGGCGATTAGGAAATAAAAGGTATTTAAAAGTATGGAGAAATATAAATATTGCAGGGGTGCAGCAGATTTATTTTGGTCGCTTTTGTGTTCCCGAGTAAAGGGCATAAAAGCAAATTCTGCATGGGGCGATCGTTCAACAAACGTGTAATTCAAGTAATGAAAACATTTCATATAAAAAACATGGCGTTATATTATGATAATAATTCCACTTTGAAATTAGTAAAAAGTATAGCGTATAACTAGTTAACATGACATGTCCAATTTTCCATCAACACATTCAAATCATATAGGTCCACATTGGTATATAGAGATTGCAGAACAAAGTCGAAACAATAGAGAACAGGTTATTTTCGCTTTTAATGTGTAGCGTACGATAGAAACTTTGTTGTACGATATCATACAGTTAGTTAAATAAGATTTTATATTTTTATTTTTGCTTTGTTCGCAGGTCATAAAAAGACTGGTGCTCCGAAAGACACCGGCAAAGATAAAGACTAAGATGGAAAGAAAAGATAATGATCCGAAGTGTTGCGCTAAGGGCAACAGATCAATTTTGATTTCTTTAATCGCTCAGAAGCAGAAATCACATATGGAAACTCCTTTGTTATGCATTGGTTGAATTCAGGTGGTGATTATAGCTCAGGTAGTCCAAGAACATATTCAAAATACAATGCAAAAATGTTCTTTCACAGATGTTTGTTTATTTCATCATGGTATACTAATTTCAGATCACAGATATTTTAATTGTGTTATTGACGTAAACCCTTGCTTTCTTAAGTTTGGAAGCGGATATTTTAAGCAAACTAACTATAGAGCGAGTTTATTAATGGAACCAAATTGTACGGTCATACATGAATCCGGTGTTTATTTGACCGGAGTGACTAGGAAAATCC